ACTTTTACATGTATAATATATAAATAAATTATGTTACTATATTTTGAAGTTCAGTTAGTGAACTGGAATTTCAATCTATGTTACAATTACGAGTAATATAATGTAAAATAGATGTTGTTATTTATTTGTTTACTACTTTATGAAGACATCATTATAGTAACAATTTATAGGGTCGTTACAATAATGCTAAAACTTATAATTTTATTGTGACATAAAAATAATTATATTTATAATAATCGTCGTATAAATAAATTACAAAAATGAGTTAAAATTTTCATTTATTTTATATTTTTTTACAATTATGATAAATAAGATTATTATTATTATATATTTTTTAATAATATGTATGGGGTTGGGATTTTTTAAGTTTAAAAATATATAATGAAATTTATCAAAAATTACGCCATAATATATTATTATATAGTTTTTATATACAAGTTAAGCATAGAATAAAATAAATATTTATCATATTTTTATTTATTTTATCATGTTGTTATATTATCATGTGTTATATCCAATTTATCACCAAGCAACGTTTCGGTGTAAAATTAGAAAATATGGTAAATTGTTGTAGTAATCCATTTACTATACATAATACATTTTACTTATAATTGATGATATTGGTAAAAGAGTTATCTTTGGTCACTGTGTGTGTGGTGTGTGGTGTGTGGGAGGGGATTCTAAGATTTGAAAAGATAATGAGAAGTGGTTGATATTTTTTCTTTTTGAAAGCAAACAAGTGGTTGTTTCAAGAACAAGAAGCTTCTGTGGGCATTTAATGGTGAAAAGGTGAAGGTTGAGGGTATAGAAACGAAATAAAGGGGCATCAAACTTTATGTGAAATGAAGTACTGAAAGGGCAACAAACACCATGGATCATGCTCAAATGGTCATAATCAACATAAATTTAGGAGTTGGTGATTCTCGTGAAGATGAGTTGGGTTGGGTATATTCATTGGAGAGGAAAAGGGCTCCAATAAGTGAAGTGCCATTGTTTATGGGACAACATTTGTGGCGGCGGTGAAGTTGTGTCCATGCTTTTCTCAAACTACCATCTTTCAATTTGCAACGGAGACAATGATAATACCAATTCAATAGAGCATGTACCCAATATTACGTTTTTTTATCTTAAATATGCATATTCTCATTACTTCTTCACTAATATCTTTTTATTAAACATCAAATTTTGCACTCATGTTCACTAATCAAATAAATTAACAATGTGTTTGAATTAAAATGGATCTGTTTCATGCCAAATCAAATATGCTGTAAAATTTTACAAACTTTCTAATCACTACTCACTAAGCCAAATATCAGTTTTACCTAAAGTATTCAAAATTAAGTTAAATAAAACAAATAAAAAACGGTACATCATTTCTTTTATCATTAAATGACATATAATTTAAAGACTATTGTTTTCTGTACCCCAATAATTTATTTTTACATTTCTATACTTTAATTCAAATACTTAAAATATGTTTTCTCAAATTTTAATTTTTACTCTAATTTCTTCTTTTATTTATGTACAATTTTTCAGCTTTATCTTTGACTATTTGTTTTTTTGTTCTTGTGTTAACTTTTTCTATCAATTAAAGAGAAGTAATTATTAATATTATGTATGAATTACATGTCTCTACTCAAATTACATAAATAGACCCAAGTTGCTCAATATGAAACAGTATGGTGAAAATAAGATTAAATTTTGTAACACCCATCTAAAATGTATTTCTAAATTGGTTTTTTTGATAACACATTTCGTAACTAAATTGGTTTTTTTGATAACACATTCCGTAATACTCATTCTAGAATAGTGTTGTGGAGGGTGAGATATATTTATAGAAATCAATTTTGTAAGGATAGATTTAAAATGTATTTATAAAAAATCAATTCCAAAAATACATTTTCAGATTAATGAATTTGGAATTCATTTTCAAAAAATCATCCAAAATATATTTCTAGAAAATCATTTTCGAAAATATATTTTGAAAAGTGCGTTCTAGAATGTATTTCAAAAAAATTAATTTTATAAATATATTTTGAAAATAATTTTTGGATCATATTTTTCGAAAATATTTTCTATTTTCTCACTCTCAATAATATGAAAGAATAAAATGAGATTTAATTTAATTATTGAGTTGAGAAAGCTACATCCTAATTTAAAATATAAATATTACAATCGTTTGAACCCATATTTTTTTCATACACTTCACCCGAATTAGATGGGCCGTATTTTGATGAATTACAACAAACTATTGTTGTTGGCCCTTAGTGGCCCGCTTTCAAAATTCCAGCCCACTTAATTAGAACTAAAGCGTATTGTTAAGCGAATATCATGTTAGTTCTAATAAAAAAATTGTATTTAAATAAAATTTTAATAAATGAGAATGTCTGGTACATAAATTTATAGCTGTTTTGGGATCAAACTAACCAAAAAAAGTGCATAAAATTCGCATATATGAACTGATTTTGATTAATGAAGTGATAAGAAAATGCATTAAATAAGGTATCATAAAGAATTGATTTCGATGGATAAAGTGAGAACATATGCATTAAATAACATAAAATAACTGCTGAAATATCAATTGTGAGGTATCAAATAGTATTATTAAAAAAAGCACAGAATTTTAGTAATATTTTTTCAAGATAACTTTAATAAAGAGTACGTTTTGATTTTTTTTTTGTCTAAGTAAATAGTATTTTATTCTCTGATATTTAAGTCGAATTTATTTTTTTTTTAATCTTCGTATTTTATCATTTTTAGTCTTCTAACAAATAAAAGTTATAGTATTTTTTATAAACAGTGAATTATCAAGGTTTAGATTTTGAATTCCCAACTCAATTGAAAATTTTTGTACGACCGAAAAAATAAAATTTATTTTTAAAGTAATTTGAAATCAACCCCTACGTAAAGATTATTTTATAGTATATAATGATTTAAAAACATATTTATAAGAGAAAACTCTTCCAAATTTTAGATTTAATAAACTTAGTTGTTTTAGAACGTGATTTATAACATAAATATAATTTTTTTTTAGAAAGAAGTGCATTGATATAAAAAATCTTGTGAATAGTATTGGAAAATATTCAAATTATCATTAGCAACCGATTTTTTTGGAATTAAGATAATTATGATTAGGCATGACAATGAGGCGGATGCGAGTTTTGACTCCGGATCCCCGTCCCCGACTTTTTAACCATCCCCGTCCTCGCTGGGTTTCGGTTCCTTGCCCTCGCCTCGTCCCCGATCTATATTATTTTTAAAGAGATAATTACATTTATAATAAATTAATTTTATTATGTATTTTTTATATATAAATAAATTTTTATAATTTATAATTATTATTAATTAAATATACATTTTTATTTATTATATTTATATTAAAATATGTATGTAAAAAAATATTTAATTATTTTTTATTTATCTATATATAGAATATTTATAATATTATTGTTATTATTATTATTATTATTATTATATTATTATTATTATTATTCAAATATTTGAATACTTATAACATTATTTTTATAATACTGTATTCAAACATTTAATTATATATATAAGTTAATTCATTTTGAAGTTGTTATTTAAAAATATAAAATGTATAGTTTATAAGAAAATATTTAATAAGTTAATTATTATTTAATTAGTTCGAATTAATAAAAGTTTAAATTATCAATTTCTTTTAATCCTTTAAAATATAATTATTTTATTAAGATAAAATTTGATATATGATAAATAAGAATAATAAAATAAAAAATATGACATAATAAAATCTAATAAATATAAATTATAAATAAAAGAATATTAGTTACTACTAGGATTTATGTAAAATATTTAGAAAAATATAATTTTTTTTTACTTTGTGTTTATCAAATTGATTGAAAAGATTAAAAAAAAATTGATGGGAGAAATTAAAGAAAGGTAAAAAACATAAAGATAAGAGAGAATAATGTAATAAATTAATTGATATAAAAGATTAAAAAAATTAAAAGTAGGTAGAAGAAAAAAAATGGTGAAATATTAAAAAAATAACCTTATATGTAATAGAAAAAGAAAAGAAAATACATTTAAAATATTAATATTTTAAATTTTAAATTTAAATATAAAGTTGGGGCGATGACGGGGTCGAGGTGGGGATTGCATTACCCATCTCCGTCCCCGCTCCCGACTTTTTAAAACGGGAAAACCCGCTCCACCCCGATCAACTCGGATTTTTCTCGTTAAACTCGGGACGGGACGAGTCGGTCCCCACGAATACGAGTTTAATTGTCATGCCTAATTATGACCACTTAAAATGTTACATCTTTTATATAATTTATAATTTTAGTTTCCTTAATATATTTATTTGTATATTTATAATTTTTTCTTTTGAGCTTTTCTTTATTTTTTAATTTTTATATAATTTATGATTTTATCATTTAAATTTTATGATTATTTTATATATTTATAATTTCATTCTTTTACCATTTTATTTTTTTTCACTATTTTATATTTATTTATTATTTTTAATAATATATTATTTAATCTCAAAATAAATATTCATAATAGATAATTAAACTGTTGTTGTATTAACGAGAATGTTCTAAAAGATAAAAGTATAAGATTAGTTAAGAGTTTCTTTTATTCCTCTTACTTCAATTGTTTCTCAAAATATAATACCTAATTTTCCTAGTAAGATAATTATTATAATCTTGTTCATTTAATTATTAAAAATGAAGTTTACCTAAGATTATTATTTAATTTTGAGAATGAGTGTGTGCAATGGAAATATCTCAACACTGTCACATTAACCTGTCAAGATTCGGCTGGTCCCACCAGAAAGACCGTCTCAGAAACAGATCAATATCTTCTACAGTTACATTTTCAACTGCACAAATCTTAACCATTAAGTTTTATTTTATTTTATTAAATTCAAACATTTAAATTCTATTTCAAAACTATTGACCGTCAGATCTATAACTGCATCACATGCAATTTAATAATAACTGCACGAATCAGAATCAGAAATGCAACACTTTAGTCCCAAACTCCAGCCACGTCAGCTTATCACTGCACAACTTTGTGATCATCACGTGAGCCTCCCCGCAGGTGATCCTGCCAATGTGCCAGGCTGTCACGAGCTAGAATCCAACGCGAGTAGAGATATTCGTTGATGCCGTGGAAATGAACGGCTAAGATTACCTCTTGCTCGCTTTCTAAACTCATAATAACACAAACGCGCCTTCTTCTCCTTCCCTATCCCTTTCCATTGCTCGACGGGGAGAAGGGTAGGGTGCGGTGCGGGGTGCAGACGGTGTTTTCTCTCCGGTTAGGTCTGATTCCGATCTCACCGCATTGCCTTCTGCCATTGCTAGGTTTGTTTTCTCTATTCACTTACGGTTTCTAGATCTGGAGTTGATTTAATGGTTTCGTTTCAGCATTGCGAAGGGAATACGTGATTTTAGAGTTACAATGTGCTATCGGTTAGATATGAATTTTATGTGTGTCTGTTTTTGTTTATTATGACTTTTGACGTTTTTTTCATTTAAATTTGCTACTCAATTGGATCCGTACTTTCGTAGACATATGTTAATTTGTTGGCATTGTTAATCGTCTGCTTATTAGTGTTCAATTCTGCTTTTTATTGCACAAACGTGGTAGTTTTGGAATTTTGCTTTTGTTCTACTACAGCTATCCGCGTAGGGTTATCAGATACGATGGTTGTTGAGGAATATAAAATGTTTATTTACTTTTTTTTTTAGTTCGTAGAATTTAAATCTTGGCAGTATTAGTGCATGTGAAATTATTGCTTGCTTTTTCTTTGACGTTGATGCTAAGTTGTTTTACATGATTTTCGTTGGATGAAAATGACGCTGGTCGTTTCTGGTAGCTATAGGGGTGTTGTAGGGGTATAAAACAAGGTGCGCCTTATCATTGTTTTGCAAGTTTGTAGCGTGAAATACTGCTTAGAAAAATCGCCACATAAGCTTTGGCCTGAAGCAATGATAGCTGGAACCTTTGTGCAATGTGGCACTATAACTGAGACAAGACTATAATCAAATAAGGTTATTGCATATGAATTGTTTCTTTGTTCTTTTTGAGAACTCGCCTTCCTAGCTTGTTCCCTACAATAAAGGTTAACAATCAATGCTGTCAGGAAGGCAAAATAAACCAATACATGTGAAGTTTCCTAACCCATGTGGCCTGTAGTGAGCGGTGCATGTTATGCTTTTATACTTGACGTTGTTGGTTTTTATCATTAAACTTTCTTCCTTTAAGGTGTTAACATTTTTTATTTTGGTCTTTAAACTCAGTCCCAGGATGGTTGTGCAGAACTTTGAAGTTGATTTGAACAAGGCCCTTGTTTTCCAGGTAAAGGCAAAACTCTTTCTAGTCTTATTTGAAACATTTTCTCTATACTCTGGCTTCCACTACTTTTGAATTTTCATATAAGTCCTGATTCTGTTTTGTGTATGAACTTGGGTTCAGATAAGAAGTGGGTAGTTTGTACTTTGTATACCAAGTAATCTCTTGTTGAATCTTACTGAATTCTCAATGCTTTAAAGGTGGGACATCTTGAGGAAGCTTATGAAGAGTGGGTTCACCAGCCCATTGTTGGCAAGGAAGGCCCTCGTTTCTTTGAAAATGAAATTCTGGAGGTATGGCCTTCAACTACAGATAAAACTACAAAAGCCTAGCCTGACCTTACAAGTAGAGTTTGGCTAGATAAACTAATTGAAGCCATTGGCTTAATTGAAACCCAGGCCTTTGGTTAAAAAATTTAGAGTAAGGTTCTTTACGGTGGTTTCTCCGAGCTCCTCTGCCTTTTTAATTTGACCATCTTCCACTTGATATTCTTTTTCTCACGAATCTTTTGTTGATTTTCTTCTTACATGATTAAACTTTATAAGTCGTGTTTCAGTCATCTTGTTCTGAATAGTTGCTAATCCAAGTTTCTCTGAGACTATTCACTCTTAATCTTATTTTTCATTTCTTATATATGTCTGTTTTTCAGCGCATTCGTTCACTTCTGCATTCCCATCACTAGAATTATGTTTTACTCCTGTTAATGCTTCTCTGTTCTACATTTACTAGCATAGACAATTGCTGGTTCCATAGTTTTTCGACATTGATTATGATCCTATGTTCAATTCTTTTAATATCGAGCATGTCAGAAACGGATAAAGATTTAATTTTTATGTTCTGGTAATATATTGAAAGAATTTCATTTGATCTTGTGTTGTTACTACTTGGAACAGTTCTTGACGCGCACAGTCTGGTGGGCAATACCAGTCATTTGGCTGCCAGTTGTATGCTACTTTGTGTATAGCTCTGTACTAATGGGCCTCAGTTGTCCCCATTTAGCTCTAATGGTGGTTCTTGGCATTTTTATTTGGACATTGCTTGAATACTCATTGCACCGTTTTCTTTTCCACATTAAAACAAAGACCTACTGGTTAGATATCTTTCTTACCCTTTCCTTTCCATAGTATGAAATATTATTTTAATTTTTGCTTATAATTGCGTTTAACTATATCTACTTTGATAATTTTTTTGGGTTAGAATAGCACTAAAAGTTAATTTGCTTTTTATTTTGGGGGATTGAATGCTGCTTTAGGGGAAATACCTTGCATTATCTACTCCATGGCTGTCACCATAAGCACCCCATGGATGGCTTGAGACTCGTTTTCCCCCCTGCTGCAACAGCTATATTATTGATGCCGGTATCTCTTCTTTGTCATACTATATCCACCATTTCCCATACTTATTTGGTTGAAACAGATTTGTGGGATTTAAATTTCCGTCCAAGTTTTTACTTTTTACCATGCGTGCTTTCTATAATTGGAAAGACCAAAAGAGTAAATTTCTTCTTTTTATCTTTTTCCCTCTGCTATCTAAATTACTCTTTTAAATAGTTAAGTGTTTCATATTGAATTTTGCTTGTATCAACTGGTTAAATGACTATTGATGCATTAGTTTTCGACCAATATATATATATTTGTCCTATTGGTAAATTTCCGTTATAACTATTACATCAAGTAACATATCTTGTAATAATAGAGTTAAAATTTTTATTTTTTTTAATATATTTTCTATTAATTTAATGATTTAAAATAGTATTTCGTCTTAATATTAGATTACTAAAAAATGAATGGTGACGAAGTTTCTAATTCTTGTTATTGTGAGTGAATCGATCTCTCCTCGTATATATATATATATATATATATATATATATATATATATATATATATATATATATATATATATATATATATATATTTGAAACTGTTGAAGGTACGACAGTGAAGTACAAGAGATGCTGATAGGATTTTCGTTATGTTTGAATAATAGTTCATCGATGTTTGTACCTCATTGTGAAATCACGACAATGTGTACCACAATTTGTAGCTACCTGTTAAAAATGACCATAAAACTTTTTGACAATAAAATTATTTAATTAGTCTGTAACACAGATATGTCAGTATCGTTAAGACTTAAGACATTTTCTGCGCATATGGTTCAAGGTTTCATGAAATGATGTAAGTGTTTTTGTATGCTGTGTCCAGTTCTGGAACATAGTGAAGCTCATGGCGACCCCTTCAACTGCTCCTGCTTTGTTCGGTGGCGGTTTATTGGGTTATGTAATGTATGATTGCACCCATTATTACTTGCACCATGGTCAGCCAAAGACTGAAGTACCCCGAAATCTCAAGGTAAAAAATACTTCTCTTTAACTGTGGATGGCGATTTCATTTCCATGCATTGTTTGATATATGTTGCCATATAAAATCATCTTGTTCTTGATAGTCATGCAAGTTAAATAAACATTCTCATTCTCTGCAGAAATACCACTTGAATCATCACTTTCGGATCCAGGATAAAGGCTTTGGGATCACTTCATCACTATGGGATAAAGTTTTTGGTACACTTCCCCCGTCAAAAATGGATGCCAAAAGTATGTAAATTACTGTCGAGGATAGATATTCGTTTGTGAAAATAATAGCAAATTCAGGAAATCTTGCTTTTATTTATCTTAATTTATTTGATCCCCACAACCATTGATGTTTATTTGGGGGTGTTAGCGTGCCAGCGTTTGTCAATTTTGTGGTGCCCAAGTCTACAAGTAAACATTTTGTATAAATTGATATCTTGTATCAGAATGATTTATGATGGAAAGCTCACCTTGTGCATGATCCTTTCTGGTGTAGCTTAAGTATTTTACAAATCGAATATCGCTACTGCGATGGTTTAATTTTGTGAATTAAGCCCTGACGTGGACTATTAATGTTTTCTTAAGAGCTTACTGCTTTATTTCACAGTAAATCATCTAGAAGTTATATGCAAGTTATATGGGTACGGCTTTTAAAGTAATTTGACAACTAATTTTAATGAACTTTTATTATGATGATTTATGATTTAATCTTTCGATGAAGATTTTCATAGAGTATATTTTAATTAATTTTTTTAATTGGAATTCTTCACATTTTTTGTTAACCTTTTAATCTGTACACCATTATAATTAGGCAAACAAAGACTATATTTGACAATTACTTACAGTTTATCAACTTTAATTGCATTTCTAGATTCATTTTTATTTAAAAAATAACTTTGTTGCTTTTTTTAAAAATAATTATTTCTCTGAAACATAAATGTTTTCAAATTTGCATTTCATTTTAACTAACATTTTTCTATTTTTTAATTTAATTAATTCATTATTTTTGGTAACTTTTTTTTTAATTTTAAAAAGAAATACTTATGGGAAGTAAGCATCCCACATTTTTTCCAAAAATGGCAATAACATATAATGGTAACATTAAAAACTGGTAGTTCTAGATAAATAAAATAATGATTAAGCTTATAGTTAAAAAGACTTAAAGGATGAAAGTCATTTTTGCAACATCCGTTTCTAGTCACTGTAAAAGTTTACACACAGGCTGATAGTTGCGTCTAGACAATGAAACTTTTACCTCTATATTGTCTTATTTTTTCACAACACATCTTCGGACTCATCATAACAAATTTCTTGCCCTTATTCATAACCAGATTTTTTTAACGTGTTTATGCTGCTTTTTAAAATATTTTTAGTTTTTTTTTTGGCTCTTCAACAAATTTGGATAGTTTCTTTTTAGAATAATAATTTTTGTTGATGTTTTGTAATTATATTTGTTGAACATTCAAGGACTTGATGTTGCAAATAATGATCATGAAGAATGTTGATTTTGATGATGATCCAAGAGCTTAAAGACTTAGAGTATGGAAGATTGAAGATTGATGATTTCTGTATTGTAATAACTCTGTTTTAGTTTGATTGAGTATGTAATTATAGAATCTAAGATAGCCGATACATAGTCCGTAACTTAGAAGCTTCAAAAAGCTCAAATTTATCATTCAGGCTCGACTTTAATCGATTAAATAGGTAAATAATCGATTAAAACAGTTGAGAAAACCATTTTACGTACAAACTCACTCGCTTTAATCGATTAAACAGCAAAATAATCGATTATTCCGATACGATTCAGATGCAGATAATCGATTATTTCACCAAATAATCGATTAAACCGAAGAGTATTGGGTTCTGACGTATTTGACTGCTTTTAATCGATTATTACTCCAAATAATCGATTATTCCAGTTTGTTTCGATTTTAAACTTCAAACAAACCCTATTTTCGAAAACCCAATTACCAAGAACCCTAGTTTCGAAATCCCCAAATCCTAAACTCTAATTTCCCTACTTAAACTCTCCTTTGGCACTCAGAAAATGAGAACAACATTTTCCATACAAAAGTTAAGTGCTGTGAGTGCCAGAGAACTGTTTGTTGCAAGGAAATGGGGCTTTCTGAACCTGGTGTGGGCTAGAAGCGATAAGAATCACTAAGTGGAGTTCTTAGTGGATTGTGTGCTGTGCCGTCTCTGGGGAAAGCTTGTTCATCATCTCTTGTGGATTTCAAGAGAGGTGTATTCGATCTTTATCTCGTTCATTTGTAATCTGTTTGTAACAATTTGTTCTTAGTGACGGCGTTAATCCTCTTTTGAGTGATTAGCAACTGGACGTAGGGTCTTTTGATCCGAACCGAGTATAAACCTCACTGTGTAATCTTCTCTACTCTTCTCTATTTACATTTACGCAGTTTTTAATCGGTAAAATTTGGGGAAAATTTTGAAAACCTAATTTTTATTAAGAAACCAATTCACCCCCTCTTGGTTTTTGTCCAGACCACGCGATCATTCCGCTACGCAATTCTAACAAGTGGTATCGGATCATGCTTTGATAGTCATTCAAATATTTTCGAAAATGGCTGGACAAAATCAAACTTTTGCCGAAGGTGCGTCTATCAACGAGACTCCCACTTTTGCGGGTCAAAATTATCCTTTTTGAAAAGTACGTATGCAAATATTTTTAGAGTCTCGTTGATAGAGGCGTTTGGGACGCAATTTTAAACGGTCCATTTGTTCTTAAAATTACGTAGAACGGTGTTGACGTTCTTAAACCTTTTGATAGATGGACTCGTCGAAGAAAGTCGAAAAGCACAATTTGATGTTAGGGCTAGAAATATTATTTCATCTCGCTCTAACCCTTGATGAGTTCTACGAATTTCTATTTGTAAAAGTGCACGTGAAAATGTGGGAAATGCTTAGAGTAACCCACGAAGGAACTGACGACGTCAAAAGAGCGCGTAAAAACTCCCTAATCCAAGAATACGAGATGTTCCGGATGTAACCCGGCGAAACGATTTTTGACGTTCAAAAGCTTTTCACTCATATTGTGAATCATCTCACCGGATTAGGTAAAATATTTGACGTTGATGAATTAAATGTTAAAATTTTGAAATCTCTGGATAGGAAATGGCAACCTAAGGTGACGGCCATCTCGGAGTCACAAAATCTTGCCACTATGTCTATGGCGGCGTTATTTGGAAAGCTAAGGGAGCATGAGCTTGACCTTGAAAGGCTAAATGAGGAAGAGGGTCAATATCAAAAGAAGAACCTAGCTTTCAAGACCGAGATTTCAAAAAGCAAAAATAAGAAAGAAGAAGAAGAAGACTCCGAAAATGATGAAGAAGAGATGAGTCTTTTTATAAAGAAGTTCACCAAATTGATGAAAGCAAAAGGAAGACATCCTTTCAAAGGTAAGGGAAAGGTAAAAGAAAATTCTTCCGTTAATATAAAATGCTATGGTTGTGGTGAAGCAGGGCACATGAAGACCGAATGCCCAAACAAGAAAAATGATGAAAACAAAGGGAAAAAGCAATTCAAGAAGAAAACATATATTGCTTGGGATGACAGTGATTCAAATTTGGAATCAAGCGACTCGGAAATAGAAGCAAACATTTGCTTGATGGCAAATGACAACATATCTTCGGATTTTGAGGTTAGTGATTCCGATTCATCCTCTAGTGAAGAAAATGACCATGATGAATTGCAAAATGCTTATAATGAGTTATTTACTGCATTTATGAATATGAAAAACGAATTTAAAGTTGTAAAGAAGAACCTAAGAAGATCCGAAAAGGAAAATGAGTCATTAAAATTGAAAATTGCATGTTTAGAAGAAAAGAAGGTAGCTAATACGAAAATTGTATGCTTAGATGAGAATAAGGACTTAACTTGTGCAAATTGTAAAGAGCATGAATATGACATAGATATTCTTAACCATTTGCTTGACAAAGCCGAAAAAGAAATTGATGATCTTAAGAAGCATGAAATGGTAATTGCTCAAAATAATGTAAATCAAAGAGTTCCTTTGAAAAAGAGTAAAACTAAAAAGAAAAGAGTATAGGTAGAAAAAGGAACTAGAGCATGTCATGCTAATAATGTATCTTGTTCTAAAACTACCTCAAATGCATGCTTCTATTGTATGAAACAAGGTCACACTTCAAATAAGTGTAAAATTAAACATTTTGGTGTTCCTAAAGGAAAATATATTTGGGTTCCTATAGTTAAATGAATTGTTTGTCTCTTTTATTTATTCAAAGAAAATGGATCATTTAGTATGTTTTAAACAGAATGCTTAGGTAAAATCATTTTATCTTTTCTACTGCATGAAGGTTCTTCACTTAAAGATTTTGCGAAATGCCTCTAAAATCGTTTTAAACAACTAAAAACAAAGTATTTTTACAAAAAGCTTTCTTAAACATGTTTTTAACTGATATAGTTTTGAAAGAACCGATTAAAATCACTTAGAATGTTCAAAGAAGTGTTTTTATAGTATTTTAATCGATACAACTTGTTTTTAATCGATTAAAACCATTTAGAACTCATTATGATCGATCAGAATCCAATTATGACCGATCAGAATCAAATGTGATCGATCAGATTTTAATTATAAGCGATCAGAACTTTTTCAATCGATTAAAACATGTTTCAATCGATTAAAATCACTTAAAGGGTCAGGATGATCGATCAGAATCCAATTATGACCGATCAAAATCAGTTATGATCGATCATAATTTAGTTATGACCGATCAGTACTCTTTTAATCGATTAAATCTCGTTTCAATCGATTAAAACAACTTAGAAATTTTCTACACAACGTTTTAATCGATTAAAACTTATTTTTTATCAGTTAAAATAACTTGAAAAGTTTTATGAGAAAGTTTTGCAGTATTTAAATAGATTGTTATGTCTCTAACCCCAAGGACCCAAAAGTTATGGGGACCTAAGTTTACTATGTTCTTGTTTTGTAGGAAATTTCCAAATCAAAGAAGTCTATGTGGTATCTTAATAGTGGATGCTCAAAACATATGACTGGAGATAAAACGAAATTTGTAAGTTTCAAAGCCAAAGAACAAGGATATGTGACTTATGGGGATAACAACAAAGGGAAGATTCTCGGAATTGGAAACATAAGTGGTGCAAACACATTGGAGATTAAGGATGTGCTTCTTGTTGATGGATTAAAGCATAACCTTCTTAGCATAAGCCAATTGTGTGACAAAGGATTCAAGGTAACTTTTGAAAGCAA